TGAGACGCAGTGAAATGAAATAAACCTTCACAAATTCGCTTCGCATTTTCTAAACGTTAAAGCTGTTTTAACTTTGCATGACTTTCTTTGCATGAGACGCGAGTGCAGCAGTCATATTTGTCCGTCTAAAAATGTGCTGAATATGCGTTCTGTGTGAATGGCTTGGTTTCGGTTTTAACCTAATCAAGATCTTCTACGCATTGAGCTACTATATTTCTCTAATATTTTGAACGAATAACACAGCAGCGGCGCGTCTCGTGGGCTAGACTAAAATGCAACGTCACTTACATCATCATCACCGCATCACGTGCTCCACTGATGACGCTCCCTAACGCACTCCTAACATTCGATTGTACCATTTTTGCATTTAAATGCAAATGTTTATTTTAAATTCGACTAATGTTAATTTTTTTTTATTCACAATCTCCTCATCACAGGCAGGCAATTCAGCATGTGTTCGTGTTTGTGTGAGCTGTCTGCGTCACTCATAGCACGTGCCTATATCGTGCACTATATCGAACATTTTTTATATTGTTATCGATGGTGTACCGTCGATAAATATCGATACCGTTTTATCGCCCAGGCCTAGATAATATAATATAATATAATATACACTACCGTTTAAAGGTTTGGTGTCAGTATGATTTACCAGAGCACCAAATCAGCATAGAATGATCATTTTACTGAAGGCTGGAATTTAAAAAAAATGCTGTAGGAATAAATTACATTTTAAAATATATTAAAATAGAAAAGTTATTTTAAATTGTAATATATTTCACAATATTGCTGTTTTTACTGTATTTGATCAAATCCTTGGTGTGCATAAAAGACTTTAAGAGAAAATATAAGTTTACTACAAACCAGGGATGCAACAATACAGTTAGCCCACGGTTCAGTACATATTTAGTTTTTTTTAACCACGGTTTTCAGTTCGGTTCAGTTCTGATGGCACTGATTTTTTGTTTTGTTTTTTGCAATTTGTGATTTAAAATGCAATTTTTAAAACAAATTTAAAAAAAACTCCTGTACACTTTTGTACATTGGGGGAAAACATGGATTATCATATGTCTACTTCAAATTTCTTTTGAGAGAAGTATTATTGTTCCTATTTTTACCCAAAATTGGATAGTTGGCCATAACTGAGCGCTATAAACACATGTAATGTCTGTTTCATTCATACTGGAACTCCACATACTGTATGCATCAGAGAGGTAATAGAAATCCCTAATATGGACAAAGGCTTTCAACTGTAGCTGAATAAAAAGAAGCATTGTTGCCAACTTTGCAATTTTGTTGTTAGATTTATCAACATTTTTAATCTACACAAGCAAATTTTTCTTCAAAAAAAAAAAAAACGGCTAGTAACAAATTTAGATATTTTTAAAATTTAATTGGCAACTTTTAGCAACTTTTGAAAAGTGACTCGAACAATAAAAAGGCACACATTTTCCATCTAAATTACACAAAAAAAGGAAACCAAAGATGCCTAGCAGTACACACATCATGTGAATTAAGTTGCTAGTTGCAGTTTTTTCAAAAATAATTGTTCATTTATGATACACCTTGTTTGTAGCTTGTACATGCAATTGTTAATCAGTTAAGTACGGGTGGCCATATTCATGCCGTGTTCATACGGGACACGTCCTGGCCAGAATTTTTATATTGCCTAAAACATCCAAAGTAGTTTGACCAATAACATGCAGGTATTGTATATAATCGACCAATCGTGGCGCATGAGAAGGTGAGATCTACAGAGAACGATCAAAGTGATGCAAATACGCGCACGTGTTTGTTTGTTTGTTCGACTTGAAGCGTCGCTGCGCACCGATCATTGAATGACACCAAAGTACCGCGAGAGTGATTCGAAAGCATAAGGAGCCGTCTGCTCTGCTCTCTATAGCTCTCGTGAATGTCATACAACCATCGATCTGCCTGCTGCAAATATCCAAAACCTGCCGATCATTGAATGACACCAAAGTACCGCGAGAGTGATTCGAAAGCATAAGGAGCCGTCTGCTCTGCTCTCTATAGCTCTCGTGAATGTCATACAACCATCGATCTGCACAGTGCAAACAGCCAAAACCTGGATATTTTAGGCAATATAGAAATCCTGGCAAGGATGCGTCCCATAAAAATGGCACATATGGTCACCCTAAGTACACTGTAAGAAAAAATATGTACAAAAATGGAAAAGGTACTGGTAATTTTCTGCCAGGATATTATCTGTTAAGTTGTAACCATGTAACCCGAAAACACAAAATACAATGCGTAATTTAAAATGCAGGTTAAAACCTGTGAAAAATCAATATGGAAAATTTCCTCATGTTACAGTATATTGTGCCCTATTTTTACAGACCTTTCTTAGAGTGTAGCACACTAACTAACTACTAATAGGCTACACTGCTTAAAACTGTAATTGTTAAGAATGTGTAGTTTTACTAGTTTACTAGCTAATAAGAAAATACATAATGTAATTGTTCAAAAATTTGTGTGTTAAATAATTAAATGTTGCATTTAAAAATATATCATATATTATATTATATTTAAATATGTTTGTATTATGTATTTGTATTATTTTTACGAATACATCTAAATTAACATATTTCAAATCATATTTTTTGCTGAGATTTGAGCAATCTGACTGTGTATTCTACGCAGTGATGCAGTTTTACGTCATGATTATGTAATTACATCACGCAATGACATCACAACGTCATTTAGTAACTTTAAGCAACAAATTGACCTGCCTTTAGCAACTTACCCTGAAAATTAGTTGGCAACACTGAAAAGAACATAGAAACGTTCTGAATGACAAAACATGAAGGCAATAAACACTCGATTGCGACAATGTATTTATCTGTGTTCTTCAAGCCATCCCAGGTATTTTCATAATAATTAAGTGTAATTATAATCCACTGCAAATTGACATAGCCTTTTTACAGTACAGAATATATTTTCTGCCTCATTCTGTGATGATAAGCCACATCAGATCACAAAAGGAAGTTATTTGAAACATTATACTGATGTCATTATAAGGGAAGATGTTCAGTGTGTTGCTTTTTCAAATGCACGTTATAAGCGGGGAGGCGTTTCCTCAACTCAGCACGTAGACTCAGCACCAATTCTGAGAGAAATAAAACACACGGAAATTTAAACACAAAACCGAAAAAACGCAATTCACAAGCACATATTTTCAGCCTATTCTCTACCCTAGACATAGAAAGTGTGAAAAGCAAAGTACAGCACTTTCAGCTCATTTGCTTTGTGTTGACATGAGAAGGAATGTAGGAGATAGCACCAAAAACCTTGGAGACTAGACCTAACAGGCCACACTCTAATGCCAAAGCATAGCAGTTGTGACTAGCAGAGAGAAGTACAAACAAAGAAAGCAAATAGGAAAGGCCTTGAACCCCCTCATAGCCTGCTACGACATAAGGAAACGACATAAAAGAGTTATACATTAAATTCTTGGTAACTGGATGAGTTTGGGCTCTTCAATTATATTGTCGTTTAGTCAATGAACAGTGTCTCAGTCATTTGGCAACCTTATAAACCAGGTTTGGAAAGTCAAACTTGAATGATACGCTCAATTTACCTCACCAGCGATTATTCTAACCATTGTAAATAATTTGTCATGTTGAGGATGAAGCGGTGTGCTTAAGAGCAGTTTCCATCAACAACATCAAAAGACATCTGATCAAGGCAAGTGTTCCAGAGGTTAAAAAGCCCTAGCATGTTGAAAAACCACCAGTGAAATTTAGGAGCCCACCCTTAGCCCAAGGAAATGCTTTACAAATGCCCCTTGTGTTTGCCAGACCACCTTTCTGTGTCTTTATTTTGTACTCGGCATGGAGAAGAACGAGTCCAGACATCTGACGTGTAGCATTGCCAAGCCTCTGCAGCACTCTGCTCTAATCGTAGGGTTGTTCTAGGAATATACAGAGCGGGACGGGCAGCATTCAGGCATCCAGTGTCCACACTTCACATCTGATGAGTGATCAACTTAGAGTTGGTCCTATTCAAGTCAAGTGAAATGCAGCTTCAATGAGAAAGATAGTTACTGATTTTGCTATTTGAGTTTTGTCAGTCAATCCATTCATCACCAGTTTTCCTTTACTTTTCCTTTTCCCTTTGCTTTCTTTTTTCATTCCAGTTCACTTTTTTCCTTTCCATTTTCCTGTCCCATTACATTTTTCTCTGTATTCCTTTTCCTTTCCTCTTTTCTTTTTCCTTTGCCTTCCTCTTTCCTTTCCCCTTTCCTTTCCCTTTGCTTTTCAATTTACTTTACTTTCCCCTTTACAATTTTCCTTTCCCATTTTCTTTTTACTTCTGGTTTTATCTTTCCTTCAACTTCTGATTTCCTTTTTACGTTTCCCTTTGCTTTCCTCCCTCCCTTTCCATTTTGCTTTTCTTTTCCTTTTTCCTTTGCTTTCCATTTCCTTTCCCATTTCTTTTACCATTTGCTTCCTTTTTTCCTTCAGCTTTCGTTTTCTTTCCCATTTCCTTTTACCTTTGCTTTCCTATTTTTTTCCCCTTACTTTCCCCTTTGTTTTTCGTTTCTTTCCCCTTTCCTTTCCTTTGCTTTCTAGTTTACCTTCCTTTCGCCTTTCTTTTCCCCTTTCCAATTTACTTTCCTTTTCCTTTCCTTTCCTGTTTCCTTGTCTATTTGCTTTTTATTTTCCGTTCCCATTTTCTTTTATTTTTACTTTCTTTTTCCTTTGCTTTCCCGTTTCCTTTTACCTTTGCTTTCCTTTTTCCTTTCATTTCCGTTCCCCTTTTATTTTTCCCTTTCCCATTTGTTTTCTTCTTTTATTTCCCTTTCCTTTCCTTATTCTCCCTGTCCTTTTCCTCTCACTGCCTCTCTCTCACATCTTCGCTTCATAGATGCTTGTGTTGATATTCACCTGACCTTATGTGACTTTAGGTTACAGTTCTCAAACATTAAAGCAAAGGCACATTCAGTTAAAGAAGGTTGATGACACATGGAAGACAGTGACGCCAATGACCATGTTTGGTCATAAATTCTACTCCGCGTAGCCACTGGGAAACAGAAAAGCGAGCAGGCACGTGAGATTACAATTGTGTTTGTTTGTTCTGGGAGCAATAATATACTCACTGCCTCTTTCTTACTGTCTTACATTATCCTTTGAACACCCCTCCCCCATCAATATCCCAACCTTAGTCGTCTTCACCCCAGTTAAAAAAACTCTCTCCACCGCTCTCATTTTGCCCTCTTTCTCTCCTCCTTTTAATGCAATAAAGCTGTGAACATTTAATTTACCAGGTCTTTCTCTGGTTTGTCTTGGATTCCATGACACAACTCAAACCATACAAACCTCATATTTTTAAGCTGTTCTCTTCATCCCAGTCCGCCCTTCAAACTGTCAATTTTTATCTTTGTATTCTTCTTGCCTCTGAAGCACTTACCGGCAAATACCACAGAAAGTGAATAAAAGACAGCCCTTCCAACATTCCTCGGGCAGTGACTCTCCGAAACCTACTTTGGCACTCTAAAGTCAACTGCATACTTCTGTCAATAGAAAGCAGATGTTGAACTGTAATGTATGTCAGTTTTTTTCCCCTCTGTCTCTCACTATACAGAAAGAAATATGTAGGCAAGACCCTTTTTTACCATCTACATGGATATAAATACAGATGATGAATAAATCTACCTATATTTTCACCTTTTCTTGGTGCAGTAGCTTGAGCAGAAGCAGACCTGAAATGCAGATAGTGTTACAGTGGTAGAAGCACTAACAAAAAAAAGTGTCACTATGTTTATTTCATAGCATTCTATGAAGTAATAAATATCATGGTATACATATATGATTGTCACTGCTATACCTATTCAGTACTTATCAATCATCATACCACCGAAAAATTTACACCCAGTAACTCTACCATTAAAAAGTTTGTGGTCCCTAAGATTTTTTAATGTTGTTGAAAAAAGTCATCTGAATTTTGTGTTGCTTACTTTTTTCCGGATTCCTTGGTGAATGGAAAGTTCAAACAGCAGTTTTTTTTGTTTTTTTTTGTTGTTTTTTTTAAATATAACATTATAAATGTCTTTCCAGTCACTTTTGATCAATTTAATGCATCACTGCTGAATAAAAGTATTAATTTCTTTTAAAAAATGTTTTACTGACTCCAAACTTTTGAATGGTAGTTTATGTATACATACGTTTTGCCTATAGTTTTGCTTATAGTTCAGTAGATAATAAACCACACTAAATAAATAAATAATCTCAGACTAGTAAGCAATCACATAGAACACAACTACCTGGCTATGTGATTAAAAAAAAACTCAGAACACCTTAGCAACTGCATAACAACACTATTGCAACCACCACAGAAACTACTTAGCATTGTGGCGGTGATTTTTTTATGGCCAAGCAGCAGTTAGCTATATTCATGATCGTGTTTGTTTTGTTGTGCCTTTAAATAAGGCCGTTATTGTTGTGAAGGGGGTGAGAGTTAGCCTTGGATGATGGCTTACAGACACATCCATATGCCTCTTGAAGGGCCTGTGGTTTGTGAAGGTGATTTTCAGGGCATACATCCACACCTCCCTTCTGCTCAAAAGCTAGGAAAATGACATCCTTGTTAATGTTAGCTCCCAAAGCAGGTGCTCATTATTGAAGTTTACGAGGTGAACCTGACTTTGCCATCCTCATGCGGCACAAGGCTGTGTTTTAAGGGCTCAATGGAGATGACATGTTAGGCCTGGTGTATGTCTGTTTTTCTGGCTTTTTGTTCTCTCACATCTAACATGTACTAAAATAGAAGAGGCTCAGAAACGAACAAACAGACCCATACCGATCAGTCTCCCAAGGGTACCTGCCTTCTTGCGTCAATGAGGCTAGTAGTGATTTAATCTTTTGCAGTGGTAAATAATACTTTGGGTCAATAAAAAGGGTTAGAAAGAAAGAGCATTTGTTTATACAGGTTGTTGTCTGGTTTACGTCAAACCTTGTTGTTTTGCAAAGCTGTCTCGGTGTGGATTATTTGCTGATGATGGTCATTCTGAAGGATAACTGTGGTCAGTGACGTCTGCATCACATGGCTGGGCCTGTAACAGAAGGTGGATTCACGGTCTAAGTGCGATCAAGCCCTTTGCAGTTACGACATTTGGTGTCTGGCCAGTACGAATGCTAACTGTTATCACTGTCACACTAGAGAAAATGTGTAGGTTTTAAACTCTGTGGCGGCAGTCGAACAGATCATTTACTAACACTGTCAAAGCATCCTCTCCAGGGAGAGTAAACAACAAAGGCCTAATTTCACAAGCCCAACCATTACCAAAAGGCAGAAGATCTTAAACAGTGGTCCAGAGATTAAAATTTGCTTATTTAAATAAATAAGTAATTCAATTATAATTTATTTACCAAATAAATAAATCTACAAAAATAATAAAATAATAAATAATGATTGTAAAATAATAGTTGGATGAGAATCAACAATGTTTGTAGTCAAATGTAGCTACCAGATCTAGTTATTTCAGTGATCAAGAACAAAACAGTCTGGCAAACTTTTAGGTCAGTAAAAGTATTATTTCAAAGCATGTCATTTAAGGTAGTGTGTAGGGTGTTTAAGAACAACTGTTCTAGAACATTGTAATGTGGTGTTTTGGGTTGTGTTTCTTGTTCATGTTTTCATGTCTTTTATTTTGGAGTTTAGTCATGGTCCCTGTTTGTGTCATGCTTCCCTTGCCCTCATGTATTCATGCCATTGGTTCCTCTGTTCATTGTGTCATGTTCTGATTGGTTGTCTAGGTCATGTGTCTTGTTTCCCATTGCTTGGGTTCTCACTTCAACTCGCCTTCAGTGGACTAATTCGTTACAAACATCAGCATGTGAACATCAACAGATGTCAGAAAACAGCTATTTTATGTACTGTGCTGTAACAAAAATACCTAATGTAAGTGGATATTATTCTTATGTCTCATCTGTCATGCATTGAATACTCTGATAAAGATGATGCGTGAATGAGCGAGAGCAAACGTTCAGATTTGTTTTGAACGTTATCTCCTCTTCATTGGCAATTGCCTCCCTGCTTCCTCCGATAAGACTCACTCTCCCTCACTTTCCTCACTTTCTCTGCCGTTTTTGCCTTATCTGATGTGGTGAGAGCCAATCCTAAAAGGCAATACCAAGTGCACATGTACATCTTCTCCACAGCAGATTTCTCATATTAAATTGATGCTGTGACTTTACAACAGAAACATAAGCGTTTTGTCAGGCAGACATCACCTCCATCTTGTTTCTGGAACCTGTCAGCTCTTAATTTTAGCACTTCAGATTTGTCAAGAGTGTCTGTTCTCGGAAATTCAATATGGAGTCAATGTACTCCACTGTCAGTACATTGTTAGCACTTGTCAATTTACTGTACGATTAGTGATAGACTATCTCTGTATTTGTTATGTTAAAAAATTGTGGATAGAAAAAAAATTGGCAGGCAAAATATTTTTGGTTTAAAAATTGTAAGAATACCTGCTAAGAAGAGTGTAAACGGTAAAAACTGACAATGTGAGAAATTATTGCAATTTAAAATAACTTTTCTCATTTAGTACATTAAAATATGTGTATGTATAATAAATATATATACAAATATATTATTAATTGCTATGTTGCTATTGGACATACAATGTAGCTTCCTTAGCCTCAGATGATATACAGCAGTATCTGCTGGTGGTGTTTTTTCTACTGACTGTAAATCAAATCCAGAGCTATCGCTGTGCCTGGAGCTGCTCCAATGGCAGACTGATCTCAGCATGGTGCTGTCTGTTTACCCATATGCTGCATTTTTACTCGCCAGTTTAATTTATAAATCTTTGTGATCCTACCGGCCATTTATCACTCTGTTTTGCCCTTAAAGTTTATAAAAGCTACATTGTACATAAACAGAATATACTACTCTTTTCTCATATCTAACAGAGAATATTACATTCATCACATTTGCCACAAGCCTGAAATTATGTGGCCAATCATGGGACTCTGACAGGATCTATTCTGCAGTGGGATCCTTGACACAGGACAGGATGTTATTCCATTGACAGAATATTTCATTCAATGGCAACAATATCTGATGATATACAGTAAAAGTAGGGGAGTTATTAAATTTGTGGTGTTGTGTAATAGTCACAGTGAGGTGGCAAGTAGCCATTGCCTCCTGTTGCCCAGGCAGACGTTTGACAGGCCGATCTCTGGCTGGACCCTAGGAACAGGAAGGGCCCGGGTCAGTTTCCCAGCTGGAGGCACAGCCGGCCCGTTTAAAGTGAAGCGGAGCGTGCTAGGAGTTTGGTCAGAGGATTAGTGCTGTTGTCTATGAAACTGCAGCGGGAAGGGGGTTTGCGTGAACACTCTGCCCATGCCCCTACTGCTTTGCTCCCTTTCAGTCTGGCTTCTCTGAAGTTAGACAAACATGCCATTGTGACCTTGTCATTCCCCAAGAATCTCACAAACTGTTCTGAGAAGGACCGCCATATCCTTCAGATACAGATAGGACCAGAAGGCAACAAGATAGCTGCTTTGAAATATTTAAGAGCTGGCCTAAAGTCGCTAAAACTCTTATTTCCTTCATAATAGTGCAGGAAGACGGCCAGACAGCATTGGAAGTGACCAAAGACACAGTATGTGGCAACTGTCTATGCTGGAAGCCACTGCATGTCGTCTCAGAATGTTCACTATCACCAAGCAATCAGCAACAGTAAAATGGTTAAATAAGTATTTTAGTTTGTTAGTATGTTAGTTAATAATAGAACTGCAACAACAGTATGGATAAAGCAAAATATCATCCAAATTATTAGGCCAGAGACCAGAAACATCACAAGCTGACTTTTAAGTAATGGTTAGTAAATGTATAATAAATAAAATTCATTGCAGTCTATTCACATGTAATGTTTGTAAGCAAAATAATTCTATTTCAGATGAACAGGAAAAATAACATTTCCCAGACTTTTCCGGGGTAGACTATTTCAGTTTTTTAAAACAATATTTTTGTGTACCTATAATACTTTTGTGTGTATATAGATAGATAGATGGATGGATAGAAAGAAAACACGTTTTCCATGAAGACATGGTGTGATATGTTCTAATGGTTTGTCTGAAAGCAGTGACATTTTGCAGATTAGATTAAATAAACAGAGCTGATGGGTCATGGTGTTTTGTTGGACATCCTCAACCCTTAAGGACTGTTTTGCCCACAGTTTTGGTATTTTACCACAGGCCAGTTGATCACTCACAAAACACAAAGAAGAGGAAATTCCTGCTTACACTTTCAACTGCAATGTGTCAGAGGGTTCCTCGTGGTTCTGTACAAAATACCACATTAGCTTTCAACCACAGCCAGCTCTGACTTTGTAAGTAAAGGGAGAGGTCTCATTTCATTTTCCCAGCTTCTAGATTAAATCACTTCTGGACGTCTTGCCCTGGGGTCACTGATGACATCATGCTCTCCACCTTAGTCCAAATTGCCCATTAACTCTCATGTTGCTTGTTCCATTTGTTGCTCTCATGAGATGTTTTAGAAACTCAGCACAGAAAGGAAGTAATAACATCGCCCACCCTTGACAAAATAAGTATTTATATATCGTCTTAGCTGGAACATTATTTCCCTCCATACAGTGAAGGACTCGTTCCTACCTCATCTTTAATGATTACCAGGAGGAGAGTTATTCTAACTAAAGCTCACATCTCCCCAGAGAACGTAAACACAC